GGGGGGGCTATCCAGTTCAGTTTGTTGCCTCTTGGTGGAAGAACTACCTTCTGTAGTTAACTCGTTCTTCAGCTTTTCTGTAGGTATAACTTCTTACATATTCGACTGATTGCTTCTCCTCTTTCTAACTCTTTCCCTATTACAACATTTTTCAATTTAGTGTTACGGCTTTCTCCAATTTCTTTAGAGGCAACTGCTGCGGGCAACTGAAATAAATCTTCCTTGACAAAGTAGGACACAATGAACAACCGCATATCAGAAGTTCTAGAAAATATTTTTCGCAGTTGTATCTTGAAGAGTCTATGAGTAAGACACTGTCGAACATATTCAAGAGGTAATGATTGTTTTTGCAAGAGAGAAAAATATGAATTTAACACATCAAGAAGGTGGTCAAAAGTAATATACTATTTTTTAGCCTATAAAGTACTTGGGATGCATAAGAAATTAAAAGACACCTTATACCCAAAGGCAGACATCAAGGAAGACAGAATAGAAAGAACTAAGAGTACACTTGCTTTCACAGTATCATAATTTTAACAAAGTTTCTCCAATTGCCATCAACAACATACCTTTACGAAGATTATTTCACAGATATCCGCGGCGGTCATATCAAGAAATTTCTCTCCTAGTTCACCTATTAATGTTGCTACAGCTGATCCACTGCTGTCTGTCATGACAAACTCAAAGCGTGCTCTAATAGCAACAAAAAAGAAAAAAACACAATTACCACTAAGAACCCCACAGGAGAAAAAGTTGTTAGCAATATTCGACTTGCCTAGTTTCTTAGAAAAGAATGTAAATGCTCTCCATAAACCCCAAAAAAATGATATTTTAGATACATGAAACTGTTCAGTTATCCCTTTTTTCTGTTCTGGAGTGTAACAAATCTTCAAAGGAATAAAGTTTTTTTAACATGAAATAGAAAATCTAGCATATTGTTTCATGATGTACTGCCAAAGCTAGTGTATATATATATATATATATATATATATATATAAGAGAATATGATTTAAGCATCGAGTAGATTAACTGATCTCTTTGATATACGTTATTTTATTTTCATGATGCCAATGACAAAAGATACCTTTTTTGTTTGAAGATATCGGTTATAACCTTCTTCCAATTTGTACATGAAAATTCTAATTATTTATTTTCTTTCTACTCCACTATTTATTGACCAAGGAATTATATGCTGATTCTCGTTTGAGTACAGAATTAGTGGTGATGGTTAATCCAGCGACAAGGTTTTGGGGTGACCGTCAGTTTGATGTTGAAAGTAAAGCGAACTCCAACTTTCTGGAATAACTATTTGACTATATTTGTACCTGGGTGTTAACATCGCACGTTGTTTGCAGCTCGCACAATGAATAATTTTGGGCGAATGAGTTTTGTACTGCTGCCCGCAGTGTGAACACAATAATTCATAAAAATCTTGGTTGTCGCAGTGATAATTTACCTTCCACTTCAAAGACTTGTATCTGCGAAAGGGGGAGATATAAGTAGATTTATTGAGTTGGGGTTAAAATACTAAAGTACTTTATATGTACACATATTAGCATGCATGAAATACACATATAGGATATTGTGACGGGATATCAACAGTCGGTACAATATCTGGCGCAAGCACAAGCGACGAATCAGTTTGCTGACTGTATCTCATTAATGTGAGTCTGTTGTCTCTGACCCTGTACGTGTATGGAAAATTTTAATGCCAACAAATGTCACGTAGATTTAAAATGATACAGAAAGGTTGTGGCAAGCTAAAAACGTAGGAAAAAGTAGGAATATGTTGTTTCAATGAGAAATTATTGCGGCGGTTACACCAGTAACACGAAAAATTGACAGAATAAACAAATAAATAATACATCATTCAGTTGACCACAATTGTAATGCAAATAAGATAATTTTTAGTTGACTACTGCTCCAACATATAGCATATATGGTATTTAAACATATAGTGTAGACACTTTCTAAGAATACTGATAAGAAATTCTGGTTATTAGCATAATAAGCTAATTTTTGCAGAAATTTCGCTAGCATTGAACAACAGTATCACCTTGTTTGTCAGATTGTAGAGCGATTGTCATAACAATCAACGTGGTTCAGTGCTATTTTATAGATGATCAATGGGATAATAGTGCATACTGGAAGCTCATAGAAGTACTGCTTGGTCTTACCAATGTTACATATACCATACAAAAATGGTCAATGATTTACGGACAAAGTTACACATCCCCAAGAGCTGTTCAGTAAATTATTTTAATGACAAAGTTTGCATATAAGCTTTAACATTTTAAACTCATAAAGCTATATTATAAAATGAGATGCAGTGTAGCTGAGGAGCATTTCAATAAAGATACATAGATACCAAACTGGTATAAACCTGTAATTGACTAAAAAATTTTTTTGAATGTATAACCCGCTAAGTATTTCCCTTTTTTTGGTAAGAAGGGAAACACGATGGTACGATAGAGAATTGTATATGCTGGATCATGTAGTTTTACCGCACATGTTTAGCTTGCATGAAATAAAGATGGAAGTATAAAATTTGGTTACATAAATATTTGTTTCATACCAGTTCAGAAGTCCCCCAACTTGAGGATATGGTGGATTTATCAGTATAACCGAGTTGTACCTTGTCGATAATAATAATCCTATATGATACATTATGTTAGTAAAGAATTCATAACAGATCCCTTGTAGTACCAAAAAAGTGTAAGTTTTTCCATACCAGCATAGTTGGTTCGGGTAATCCATTTGCTACAATTATTGGATATTCGCAACATGTGCAGCTAGGATACTTCCATCAGCGTCAGCAAAGTCTTCCCATAGTGTAAGGATAGTAGGCCTCACACTACAATAGAAGGAATGGACAGTAAATGACACTATCCCCCAAAAAATACAATAGTAATAATGTCACCAAGAATAATAAAGAAGAGGATGTAAATTTAAAAATAACAGAGACAATTCGATAAGATCGTTATTCAAACAATGCGAAAAGAATTAAATGAAATGTTTGGGCAGGAGAGTCAAGGTTGGCAGAAGGGTTTTATAAATGAGGCATCGTGAATGCCTAAGTAAACAAATGTAGCATGACGTATACAGGTTTTTCCAGTTTGGAATGAGTAATTGGATGTACTTATGATATTTTTTAGCTCTTTTCATGTTCTTTAGTTGATTTTATTTCAACTTTAGCTTATTGGGTATTAAGTATTTTCTATAGGTTGTTTTGGTTTTAAACACTGGGTATGCTTGTGAGCTTCAAGAAATAATTTTTAGCTTTGATTTGTAGATTATTGGGTATTGAGTATTTTCTGTAAATTGTTATAATTGTAAACACTTTATATTCTTGAGCTTCAAGAAACAATTTTTAGCTTTGATTTTGTGTTTAAATTATTTAGTATTAAGCATTTTATTAAAGTGTTATGGTTGCATTTTATAGCTTGAAGAAACAATTTTTAGCTTTGGTTTTTGTGGTTAGCTCGGTCTGCTTATTGTCTTGTCCTTCTTGTACTAATTTCTTTGTCTTATAATTGGTCACCAAATCAAAAAAAAATTAATAATCTTTAAGTTGGTCACAGTTGCTAATTACTCAACTTTTGCTAATATTTATGCTGTTTGTCACGTTTCTGGCTATTGGAATGCAATTACAGCATCCTTTTTTGTATTTGGGTTATGTAGTATTCGTTAACATTGAAGCAACACCTGTGAATTTGGGTATTCGAAGCATAAAGCAAGTATTCTTGATATTTGGATATTTACAATGTATTTGATTTTACTGTGTTGATCCTCTTTGTAAACCAAATCATCTATTCGTCTTATAACCAATTTAGTGTATCTAATAATATTGTGCTAAGAAAATCTTTCTCTGCGAAAATTTAGTTTTATGATGTAGCGAAAGTAGTAAGGTAAATAGAACGCCAACAGACTTACCTGATATCCAGTACGGTGATTTCACGGCATTCGATATTGTTAACTCCAGCATACTTTACCGAGCCACATTTCACCACAACAGCAATTATGTCTGTTTAATGGAAATTGCAAGTGACTTATAATTTAGATCAATGTGCACGGTCCCAGAATGTAAGGATACAAATAAATTTAATTGTGAACGAGTACTATGCATAAAATAATGGTTACCAAATTCTGTATTTCGCTGTTGGTCGTGCAGATATGCAAAGGGTACAGTATTCAACCTCGTCGGAGGCGGGAGCGGCGGGTCTTGTAAGTTATCATCTTTCACCTCTTCGACAACAGTAAATCTGTCGATAACCCATTCAAACAGTTGATAGGTACACCATATGGTAAAGGAACCCTCACTTTTGCAGTAGATATCAAGTAAGTGGAAAACGGGGTGAGCTTGTCTGCATACTTTTCTATGTCTTCCCCGTACAAAACAGCAGCCACTTTCTTTTCCTGTATTTTGATATCATGATGATTTAGTTACCAGATTCCACAAAAATGTGTGCATATAAACTTACAGAGACATAAAAATATAGAGTATTGAAGAGATGGCAAGAAAATTGATCCATTTCTGGACAAATCTTTGCATGAGGATTCATGACAGCAACAATATATGGATATAAGAAAGAACAATTTTCTTCATCTTTCCTTTTTCATTTCCATAAAATGTATTAAAGAACTATAGATGAACACAATAACAACAAAAAAACTTCAGAATTTAGACAGTTTAGCATCGAGTGCTCCTTTGAAACTTATAGAAAATCAAATAACGTATCTAAAAGCAATATCTGAAGCAAATCCATAAAAATCCCCCAAAAAAAGACGAAGAAAAGGACATCAGCATGCACAAGTCACTGAAGTATTTAAACTTAAAATTTTTTATTAGTTGTCAGATCCTCTCTTTTATTTTCTTTCCATGAAATAACATAAAGTACAATCTGCTCAAAACCTCAACTAACTTTGATGAGGCAACCTTATAGTGATGACTCATCTTAACTATAGATGTGTAATTGGGAGATGCCTTTGACCACTTTTTGGTTAATAATAGATCTTATGCGTCAGCATATTTATATTCATGTATTCATCATGTATACCTACAAAAACTTCACACTGTCTCGTCATTCTTATAACATCTTGAGAATCATTGGAGGAAGTTGCGAGAACATCTTCCCTTTCTATCTTCAACATTAGCAGTAAGCGAGACACACTACAATTAGCACAGGCAAAAACAATAATGCGTAGACAGGTGGAGTACTTAGTATTGGAACTGCTAGTAAGCCATACCATATAATCATCCGANTTCGAATAATATATCAGTGTGATGACCCAAAATGTCATCTTTAAATTAAATAATCATCTCGGTATTTTTAAGACCTTGAAATGCGGTATCAATAATTCCTCGACTTGCATGCGCAGTCCGTATAATTTTCCTNTACACTGGGAAGCTTCTGAAATAACTTTTCTCCTCTTTTGTTCTATTTGTTCTTACGTGAAAGCTTGACCCCTTTTGAGTGAACTCAAGGGAATGCCTAGAATTTAAGGGAAACCGAAATTGAATTCCTCATACACCATGTGCAACCAACCTAGTAACAATATGATGTCTACAACAAAGAAATCAATAGGGATAAATTTGAAAGAGAGGAAAAAAAGCACCAACAACGTCCAACTGAACAAATCGAATAAGCAAAGAAGAAATCCCTAAGGCCACTCCTAAAGAAAAACAAAAATAATAACAAAACTAACCTTTCAACAAGAATGTGTAAGGATAATGTNAGAGCTTTAAAACTCAATTGAGTTGACTTCGGTCAACATTTTGAGCAAACGAACCCGGATAAAAGTTTTGACCATTCCGGTAGTTCCGTATCGTGAATTGGGACTTGGTCATATGCCCGAAAGCGAATTTGGAAGTCCCTAGATCAAATTATCGTCATTTAACGGAATCTAGAAATCTAAGGTTAAAGATTTCTTAGGTTTGACCGGAGAGTTGACTTTTTGATATCGGGGTCGGAATCTAGTTCTAAAAATTTTCATAGCTTTGTTATGTAATTTATGACTTGTGTGCAAAATTTGAAGTCAATCGGACTTGATTTGGTAGGTTTTTGCATCGAATATAGAAGTTGGACGTTCTTAGTTTCATTAGGCTTGAATGAGGATGTGATTCACGGTTTTAACATTATTTGATGCGATTTGAGGTTTCGACTAAGTCTGTATCATATTTTAGGATTTGTTGGTGTATTTTGTTGAAGTCCTGAGGGCCTCGGGTGGATTTCGGAAGGTCAACGGGTAGAAAAAGCTAATGAAATTCTCTTTGGGAAGTTGCTGTCTTTTTTTTACAGCATCATGTACAGTGCCCCGTGAACAGTACCATGTACAGTACCCCGTGAACAGTACCATGTACAGTACCCCGTGTACAGTACAGTGAACAGTACCCCGTGAATAGTACCATGTATTGTACCCCGAACAGTACAATGTACAGTACCCCATGAATAGTGCCGTGAACAGTACCTCCGTGAACAGTGTGAACGCGTGAACAGTCCCGGAATTTTTCTAGACAAAACATTAAGTTCTGAAAATTTTTCATTTTTAGCGAATTGGAGCTCGGGAAGAGGCGATTTTCGGGAGATTTTCAGAGAAAACAACAGGGTAAGTGTTCTTAACTTAATTTTGGTTAGATTACCCGAATCTATTGCTAGTTTTGGCATTTAATTGGTGATTTTAATTGGGAAAATCTTGAAAATCCTCTTGGTTTAATTTGAAGATTTGAGGGTCGAGTTGATGTCGGATTTTAGTAAAATTGATATGGTTGTACTCGTGGTTGGATGAGGTTTCAAATTCTGTAATTTTTGTCGGGTTCCGAGACGTGGTCCCCACGGGTGAATTTTTAGTGCAATTTCGAATTTTTAATGAAAAATGTAGAATTTCATATAGAATTAATTCCTATAATTTTTATTGACTGAATCAAATTGTTTATGACTAGATTTGAAAATTTCGGGCACGAATTTGCGAGGCAAAGGCTTGTTGGAATTTTGAATTGGTTGCAAAGCAGGTAAGTGTTTGGTCTAACCTTAGCTTGAGGGAATAGGAGTTGTGTCTTATTTGCTACATGTTAATTGTGGAGTACGACGTATAGTCATGGTGACGAGTATCTATATGTTGGTGTCAAGCATGCCCGTGAGTCTTATATTATAATTGTTATGACTCAATTGTGGTTTATTGCGCTTCATATGTTATTATTATTATTGTTCCCTTGCCGGGATGTTTGTTTGATATTATTATTCCCTTGCCGAGATGTTTGTTTGATATTATTGTCTCCTTTGCCGGGATGTTATTATTTTGATGTTGTTTCCCTTGCCGTTTATTTGATTGTTGTACTATTGTCCCCTTACCGGGATTTTAATGTGATTTCATTTATTTCCTTGCCCTTATTTCTTGTGATTGTTGTTTGGGTGATGAAGAGTGTTAAAGCACGAAGGGTGATGCCGTGTATAATTTTGTGAGGAAGAGTGTAAAGCACGAAGGGTGATGCCGTGCCGCACGATGTACAATTCCGTGCTGATTATATTGATTTTATGGTGAGGAAGAGGGTAAAGCACGAAGGGTGATGCCGTGTAGTTTATATTGATTCTTATAGTGAGGACGAGAGTAAAAGCACGAAGGGTGATGCCATGCACTTGTCCTTGATTTTTCCTGATCCTAATTGAGTTATGTTGTCCTGTACATTTATTTACTGATTTTCCGTTATTACTTGATTTTATTTCGATGTTATAGATTCCCTTACCCTATTTGCCTTGTGTTTGTTGCTTGGGTGAGGAAGATTGTAAAGCACGAAGGGTGATGCCGTGTATTGTTTTGGTGAGAGAGCGTTAAAGCACGAAGGGTGATGCCGTGTATTGTTTTGATGAGAGAGTGTTGAAGCATGAAGGGTGATGCCGTGCACTTTCTGTTTGCTGTGTTTACTTGTTATTAACAATTCAAGTGTATTAACTGCTTAGATCCCTTTACTGTTGTGATCCTTTGTGTTGGAATCCATAGTGTTTACAATACCTCGCCTTATTTTTTTAATATGTTCAATACTTCAAATTTCAAGAATTATTACATTTCACTCAATTGATTTCTCAACTAAAGTTTCCTTAAACTGTTTGAGGTTGTACTTTACTTAAAAAGAAATTTCTACTATGTTTTGATTTATTAATTTCTCATATTAAAGGTAATGATTCCTTCGATATTGTACTTTCATTGAAAATGGTATTTTCTTTATCAAATGATTTAAAAAAAAAAAATTCATCTTTTTTTGTTGATTTCCTAATTGGGTTGGAAGTTGTACTCTACTTTATGTTAAGCGAATGACGCTCCTTGAACACTCTTAATTGTATTGGGTTATGGAACCTATGAGCTGAGTAACATGAGAATATTGTTGTGCAATGTGAGACAGAAATATGTGGGCACAAGGTGCCGGGGAAAATATTATGGTTTTATTTAATGGCACGTGAGTTGTCCGTGCGGTTGTGACATAAATATGAGCACGAGGTGCCGTGAAAATATGAAAGTGGGCTGAGACCTATATTATTTATGATTATGAAATGAGGTGTCACAAGGTGACCTTTACTCGAAATAATTTTATTCGAAAGATTCTTATCTGAAAGATATTTATTTGAAGGATATATATTCGAAATATATTTATTGAAAAGCATATTATCTTAGAGATTATTACTTGAAGGATTTATAGGCGAAAGATTTATATTTGAAGGACTTGATTAATTGATTGCACTTGTATTTATTATTTGTTGAGAAACATTTATGGTGTTCTTGTTGCCTGCTATTTATATCACTGGTTGATCATTGTTGCCATCATTGTTATCTGCTTCCTATTATTTTTGTACGCTATTTTGCACAGGTTTATTTGGTAGTCTGGTCCTAGCCTCGTCACTACTTCGCCGAGGTTAGGCTAGGCACTTACCAGCACATGGGGTCGGTTGTGCTGATACTACACTTCTATACATTTTTGTGTACAGACCTAGGTATTTGATCGATAGTAGCTACTCGGTGCGGTGGAGACTCAAGGTAAACTTGCTGCAGCGTTCGCAGTCCTCAGAGTCACCTTCAATTGTACTTATTTCCATTTGTTCCCTTTGTTTCAGAACAGTGATGTATTTATTTTGTATAACTACTCTTAGAAAGGTTTGTGACTTGTACCACCGGTTTTGGGAATTATAAATTGTTAAGAGTTATTGAATTTAAAGTTGGCAAATATCAATGTTATTTCAGTTAATGTTAGGCTTACCTAGTTTAGAGACTAGGTGCCATCACGACTCCTTCGGAGGGATTTTTGGGTCATGACAAGTTGGTATTAGAGCTCTTGGTTCATAGGTGCTACAAGTCATAAGCGAGTTTAGTAGAGTCTTGCGGATTGGTACGGAGACGTCTGTACTTATCTTCGAGAGGCTACAGAACTA